TCTGCTAAGTACTGTACGATTTTATGAAACTATAACTCGGTTGACATTTGTGGGTCTCTCGGTATGACAGGCAGCTTGTTGGATTGTTTATCTGTTCGCCAAATGCCACGTGGATGCAGTAAGCAATGTGATTGGAAAAATCGACCGCTCACAGAAATCAAAACTATTTGCAATGCAGTATCGATTTAATGACATGGTATTGTGACAATCCATTGAATGCTTCATGAGAATCCAGTTGACACGCTCTCGCCTTTTCCAAGAGTTGATGGAGGGGCGCGTGGAAATGAGGAAGTGATGGTAGGGCCTAAACCAGCCGCCAAATGTCTTGAAAGCTTTTTTCTAGCAGATGTAAATTGGTAATACATTTTTATACATTTATCATTTTTTGGTGGTGTCTTTAGTGGAGAAAATGGTCCCTTTATACGACTCCTAACCTTTCTCTGTTGTTACGTTCAAAATGGAACTTTTTCAGCAAGCAATCATAGACAATAAACCAATCGGGGATGCCATAAAGGACGAGCTCGCGTTTCTTCATCGCAAGTATCCGACTCTTGCCAGTAGGAACGGAACTCCTTATTTAGCAAAAAAGCTCAATCTTGTAGGTTTCTCCAGATACATCTTGAAACGATTAATGGCTTGTTTCCTCCAGTAGTGAGGGATAAGTACTTCTGCACTGATCTTTATTTATTTAGCTTCTTATGCATCACATTCGAAACTGTTTACCGGCATTAAAAGCGCGAGTATCAATCATGCACGCTCAATGTCAAGCAGATCTTCTGGCATTTGGAGAGCCAGTAGTAAGTTAGCGTAGTTTTATTCCTCCGCCTATATCGAAGGATTTTCGTTGAATTGTAGGACGACAAAAGCCGAACTCTCCTTCAAATAATAACACGATTCGCTACAGCATATACTTCTACAATTGAAGGAACGTCACGAAATATTGAAACAACGGAGCTGTACGTTTCTTTGACAGTTTCGCTCCACTTTATAAGCCTTTGCTTTCTTTTCCTTCTTCGATGGTGATCATTTTTAGATGTGGAGGCGCGCGTATTTGTTTCATCTTCCACGAAACCTTTGGGAAGTCTTTAGAAAGTGTCAATCCACTCGAAAATCTGACTCAGATGGACATATTGACCGCAATCAGGAATGCTACGGTAATTTTTTCGTTTAACGGAACGAAGGAGCGGTCTAGTTCCAAAGTTAACTTTCGTTCGCTATCGAAGTGGTTATTTACAGGGTCCTCGTCCAGCTCTTTTCGTACCAGAAGTGGCGTTTGAGCTGTTATCAAATCGTCAAATTCGCGCGTTGGAAAGAATCCTAGCTTGAGATGTGTCGAACTCGTACATGAAGAAATGCAGCGAATGGTCAAACACTGTGGGCTTACCACTCAGGTTGGATTTATGATGGTGCTTTTCCATAAAAACATTACAGTTAATGTGTTTCTGAAGCATTAATGAGCATCTTTGTGTGTATATTATGGTACTTTTTTTGAATTTTTTCTCATCAGTAATCGCTCAGTTCTGATTGATTTCATTATCGTAATACGTTGTCCTTCGCTCTTAATAATCTAGTACAGACTGCCGCTTTGGAACCAGAGTCTACCCTCCGTGGGTACAATTTTGATGGGTGTGGGTCGATATTCTGGATTTATAGGTTATAGGTATATTTGAGGTCAGTGGAGGTCGAAAGCAGAAAGGAGTCGTGTTTGTGGAAGTCGAAGAGTCATTGCTGCTGGAGACGGGGTCTTTTTTACGTGTTTGAATCTGCCCAAAGTTCTTGAAGAATGAACAGTGTATGGAGTTTTGGGCTTGTCGACTGAAATTCATTACAGAATCAAAATTCACTTAGTAAACAGCAACATATGAGGTGGTGGTCGGTGTGGGTTGTATGGGAGAGTCGTAAGAGCTGTATCGGTGTGGTCAGGAGTTGTACTTAGACCCCGCTGGGAGGGGTAGGTCGTGAATTTCAACAGTTACCCGAACGCTAGGGTTGGATCCGTTATGGCGACCCCCCCCGCACTACAAGAAAAACTCGAACCAGTTTGGTCGGAGGGGGGTCTCCTCCTGTTTTTCTGAAGATGTGGCAAATCTTACACACGGCTCGTCAGTTTGCCAATATTCATTTCCCATGATTGTTAGCGAAACTTTGAAAATATTCTACCTTGTCAATTTGTTTGTTATTTCCACTTATGTTTCATCAAAATCAGGCTATCTGAAATCCTCAAGAGCTCATGGGCGTTTCTTGTGAAGTATAATATTTAGAATCTGGGAAACAACTCCCGCAACATAGTACCTGTGGTCAATACGTTTTTTCTTTGAGGCTTGCTATCGTTTGAAACCTTTTATCATCCGTTCTTTTTACCTCCGTGGCTTTTAGATTGCGTCTCATATATTACATAGTGCAGTTCACTATGAAGTTCAAAATAATTTTTCATGAAAGTTACACTTTTTCAGCAAGAAATGCAAAGGTTTCCTCGTCTCTACGACAAGATAAACGAAGTAGTGAGTGGAGTGCTCAAAAGTCGTTTACGTCCAACAAATGAAATGGTGTGTTGGAATTTTATACCTGGCTCATTTAACTTTTCCTTGGCGTTAAAGTGTAGAGAGTTTTGTTCAGTGGATAGATGGTGTTCGCTGCAGTTTTACGTTCATTGTTCGCACGTCCCATGCTGTGCCAGTGGAGTGAGCTTTTCAGGTGGCCAACCAAGTGGCGATTGAACTCGCGTACATAAACACCAGGCACCCAGAATTCGTCGGTGAGGCCAACAGGACATTGGTGAATGCGGAAGAAATTATCTCAGAGAGAAGTCGACCTCGACAGCGCACATCTTCAACGGGCGAAAGGGCTCCAAGCGTTAATTCAGATCAGGTGTGTTTCAATTTAGTTGTGGTACACGTTTAACATGTGCATTTTCCTTTTTGAGCACCCCCACCCTTTAGTTTTGATATCCTTGCTATCTTTTGTATTGCATGCTTGTTTTTTTTTTGAGCAAAACTGAACGTGCTTTACGTTTGTGCTTGTTCAGGTGAGCTGACTCATTCAACCGGTGGTGTTCGTGGTAGTTCACTTGATTGTGAAATAGCATCTAAGACAATAGAAAAACGAAACCCCAAACAGCCTGTGTCGTAGTTTAGTATTGTCTTGTCAGGCCCCCTATGTGGTTCGCATGAGAGACGGCAACGAGGCCGTATTCACGAGTGGTTCTATGACGAACGTCGACCGTCGAGCTGTGAAATCGGTCCAATTTTCGAATTACAACATTCTCAAGGAGGTGATTTCGGTTGCAGCGTTCAATATTGTGTTTGTACCCTCCGTAGTTCTTACAAACCATATTACCTTTCCGACATTCTCCTTGCTTGATTAACTTGGTTAGTCTGTAATCGCCGAAATCTTTTGTGATCTGTAAGCTACCTAGCTCGGTTTTCAGATGGTGAATTCTGTTCCTATGCCGAGTGCAGGGGATGGCGCTGTCAATGGCGTTTCAAAAACACCGATGGTGAATGGAGAATCTAAAAAAGGTTCGTCGTGGTGGTTCGGAAAGGCTACGCCTGAAGAGTCGTGTTAGTTGCTCTCATTTCTTCGCCTTTTTCCTGTTATCAAAATATACTGTAAGTTTGCATTATGATCAAATCCGTGTCCTGAAATAATAGTCTGCCTATAGTTAATGAGTAATTTAAGCTTAATCAAACTGAACATGTTTCCTGCTTGAATTTATTTTTCTTCAATCTTGTTGCCTCAACAACACAAACAGCATGCTTTTTCTATCCTCTTGCTAACGGGTAACTGCGAGGTGTGCACCTCAGCCTTGTAGCATTCTGTCAGCGCACTGTTAGGCCATCCTGTACTCCACGGCGGTATATGTATCTGTAGAGTTATCAGAATAAAAGCTCAGGTACCGATAGAGAACGTCAAAAAAGGAGCTCATCCAAGGAACATAACAAGTGTTCAAATGGTTGTACTGTGAGTTGGCTAAACTTGGGGGGGGGGAGGGGGAAGGGAGGAGTAGCGCCGAGATGGAGTTTGGACAGGACAACGCAGAAGTGCACTGCGCCGCCAACACTGCAAGCTCTCATGGGCGCAAGTGAGAACTCTGGATACCATCCTAGTAGGTCCGCCAACATTGCTGAAGTTCACGTGTTACAGCGGTAGAGGGCCGATTGGGAGGAGGAAGGGGGCAAGGCAAAAGACAGAAGAATAATGCAACAATGAAAGGAACGTAAATAGTAAACCACTGAAGAGTAAGATAGAATAACAATTTGATAAATGATAAGAACAATTTTTGAGGCATATTGGAACACAAAAGCCGTGGCAGCAATCACCGGCTTAGAGAAAAACCATGTGAAGGAAAGAGCGATCGCCTTTTGTCCTTAAAACATGAACTATCAAGGGTACCGTTACAGTTTACACTGCTAGCAATTATTTAGAATAGTTAGGAAGGCTAAATGTTTCACAACCTGAACGAAAATTCGGGACTGTAGCTTATTTATGACCAGGATCACATGCGTTGATCTTGTAAACCGCAAGTTTTAGAGTACGGCTTTGTGATTTTCTACTTTTTTTGCAAAGTTTTTAGAGATCGATATGCTTGTTTTTACAGCCGAGGTAGTTCCAAAAGCGGCTCACCTCTTACCAGAAGTGCCCGAGAAGCCTCTCGCGCGTCAACTTACTCGAAACGAGCAGAAGGACTGCCTCATTATTGGTTTGTTGAGCTTTCATACATTGTCGCATTCAGAACTTGATGTGTTGAGTTGTTCTACGTTTATATTTTCAGAACGTTTAATACGGAAGTATTTCATGATCGTCCGCAAGAACGTTCAAGATAGTGTCCCTAAAGCCATAATGCACTTCTTAGTGAATTACGTTAGAGTAGGTTTTCAGCTACTTACTATTACTGTCACGAAAGTTCAAAGGGGAAGGAATCGAGTAGTTTAGCAATGGTGTCTTCTTTCAGGACAACCTTCAATCAGAATTGGTGCGTCAGTTGTACAAGCAGGATTTGCTGGAAGATTTACTGTCCGAAACTGAGGATATGGCTCAGCGTAGAAAGGAGACTCTTGAGACGATGAAGGTTCGTTTCTGTTTGTTCATCTGGTTCACTCATGTTCAATTTTACTCATCACTTATTTTTTGATTGCATAATTATTCTAGGCGCTTAACCAAGCGAGTCTGATAATCAGCGAAGTGCGGGAAACTCAGTTGTGGTAGCGTAGAGCTGTGAATCCATGACTTAGCATGTAGTATTGTATTGTAGGTTTACGTCGCAGAGACGATTTGAGAAATTTTTTTTTTCGTTCGCTGTAATTCCATAAATTCGCTGTGAAAAGTTAATTGAGTTTATATGAATAATTTCTACATTTAGCGCTTATGATACTGTGTGAATAATTTTACATGTACCGCTGTTGAGGTTTGTATTTGGCTCTTCGTTCACGATTTGACCTTATTCCACCTCTCTGATTTCTGCTCAAAGATTTGCTTTTTCACGACATTACGTTGTTGAGACCATTGGTGCATCAGTTGATTTAGTTAGTTTTCTGACGATTACTAGTCAAGTTTCAAGATTTCCTCGTCTGTATTGTGCCACGAAATAATCTATTAGTTTCATCTATAGATTTAGTTATACGAGTAACTTCTAATTACTATGGCGTCTCACACAGCCTCTCTATGTGGGACGATCAATCGCTGCATTTTCCCGTTTGCTTTATTGAAAATGACAGTATAGGCCTATAGTTATACCCAACCTAATGTTTGTTTGACGCAATCAGTAAATAATTTATCAGCTTTTTCAAACGACTGGAACTTGTGCTTGATCTTGGTTACTCGGTAAACTTCTTACCTACATGATTTACAAGTTTTTTTTCTCATGTAGCGAAATTACGGGCTTAGTCCCGTACTATGCTTTTGTCATTGTATACATGTCATGTGCATGGTCGTTTGTATGGCATCTTGACCATTCACGATACAGTAGATTGGCATATGACGTGGTTAGTTATTCTCGCCTACTTATTGCTGGGCGACCGACCGATTGGCTAATGCAGACAACTGTAATATGACACCTTCTTAGCATAGTTTCAGCCACTGCTCACCATCATAATTGCGGGAGTGGTCAGGCTGTCGCTCAAGAATGACTGGTTTTACCCTTTTTTTCTCATAGCTCTTATTTTTGCAAACACAATTTGTCTTTTTCGCTTTTATTTAATATTATTGCATGGTGAGTTTCAATAGATTTCGAATGTGGTCGTAAGTGTGTTGGGATTGAACCATAACTGGTTTTTTGTTTAGCCGGGAGAAATTGTTTTCAATGGTTGTTGAATGATGGGGTGGGGGCGAAGGAGTGACATAGGTGTTAAGGTAAATACAAACCTTCCCATTATCTTAAGCGCTCTTTCGAGTATTTCCCCGTTATCTTCAAAGACATTTCGTAAGAATAGATCATTTAGCAGGAGAGTAGATTAAGGGTGTGAGCAGGAATAATGGGAGGTGAAACTCCAGTTCGGGGGGGCCACTCCATTGCTATCTTATCCGTAGTACTAGAGAGCAGTTCTTTGGGCTATCGAACACTACGGATAAGATAATAAGTGAACGACTCATTTCGAGCGTACTTTTGATAAGGACCGGTGGATGTCCTACATTCCACACTACCTGCCCACATCCCATCCACTTTTCTGCACAGGTGATCCACCCTGGAGCTCCTGCACCCTTAGCCCTTTGCGGAGGTGTCCTTTCTCCTGGTCCAGGACCGTTCCCTTGGGTCATGGCAGGCGGAAATGTGAAAACGTTTCAGGGTTTCTCACCCATTACACCATATTAACACCTTGACGACAGCGCGGCAACTAGGTTTGCCGCGTTTTGCACGCCGCAATGGACATTGTGGCAACTATAGTTGCCACACCCTTTACATTCAGTTTTTTCTTGAACGCGCCATTTCTTCCCAGGTTTTTTGTGTTCATTTTCTAGGCCATACCACAACATAACCAAGAACCACGCGGCTTATAGAATGACCAAATATTCTTTAGTTTGGCAGAGGTTTTTCGGACCGGACGAAAATATCCGTTCAGTTCATTCCTCATTTTCTCTTCATTAACACGAACATGTAGATAAAAAAGAATATTAGAAGTGAGTACAAAGCTACTCGTGTGGCAAGATATGTGTTTTTACCGAAACAACCACGTCCAAAATAATTTTGAAATCACTAAAGCAAAAGTAAGTGAAACTTGCCTTTTCAATGCTGTAACACATCATTCGACCGCACTTTCACATGTGTACCTTCCAATAAGTTTGACACACCGAATATCAGTGAAAACATTTTGTCGCATCGAAGTATTGCGTATTTAAAGCTCAAAATCCACAGATTTGTTGTGAGGCGGCGGCGCTCGCAGAACCGCTCTGGTCCCACGCGGCCAAAAATGCCAAAACGCGCGATGTCGTCAACGTGTTAATCTGAGGTCTCTTTAGATCGAGTCGTTACGTTCATAGAGCCTCTAGTCTTATCAATTGAGTATTTGTAGAAAAATGGTCGGTGAGCGCCCCCATGGAGTGTCACCGTAAGTGAAAATATGCCGGAGCAATAGCTATTTCAATCTATTGAGTGCGGCAGCCGCAGGGCGAGAGGGTTAGGGCAGAGTCTAAGTACCTGTGGCAGGCGATTGTAGGTACTTTGTACTGTTAGGTACTTGCTACTTTCTTTCCGATTATATATAACCAGAACTTTGGTGTGTCGGTTTGTCGGTGTGTGTGTGTGCGTGTGTCGTTCTGTCCGTCCGGACCGACCGCTCACAAAACCAGGGAGTACGAAGGGCAACACTTCGTGATGTTGATGTCATGATCATGATAAACCCACAGCGGCTATATAAACACCGATCGAGCACACTCAGTCTCATTCTACATGGTGCTGCCGTGGCAGCCGGATGAGCGGGGGAGAGGGGTAGAGGGAAGGGGGCAAGAAAGGGGAGGCTGGAAGGGAGGGGGGGGGAGAGAGAAAGAGGGAGGGAAGGGGGAGAGGAGAAAGGGAGGAGAACATGGCGCTGCTATGCGCCGGAGAGAAGGGGTATAAGGAGGTATAACACATTCAATAGTGAGGTGGTTAATGGAGTACGTCATGCTGCTATTCCGTGGTTCCTCCCTACCCTGTGATGCGCGCGATAGCGGGCGGAGCAAACCTGGTTTGTCGTGTAAGTGTTTCACCCACGTCCCCCACTCAGTAACAGGCGCGGATACAAATTCTGTTCAGTCGTTTGGAAATCTTCTCTGTAGCCTTGATGGCGGAGAATAGAATACAAACGTAGTAGTGTCTGAGTCGCGCACAATCATGGCCGCCACCCTCTCCCGCCTCCGGGGTGTTCTCTGGCCCGGGCGCGGTCTCCCTTAGACTGCCTGTCTCGTGGGCTCTCCCACCGCCTATACAAAAGCCTCTACTTCTGTTCGTGTATGTTTCAGTGCCATACGAGACCGTTGAATAGTGACGTTGATGCAATTAGAGTCGGCTAACGTTTCAACAGAAATCGGTCGCCGTCGAGGTCCAGGGCTCCACCGTCTGCGCTTGTATTCCGCGACCACACCTAGCGTTCGTCAGTAAGAAATCTACCTTCTGTGTTTTTACCTTCTTATCTACCTTCTTTGTTTCTGGTAGTACCATTTCCCTTTCTCTCACTGTGCGGATCCATCTCAGCACCCCATTATTTGTTTTTCTGGAGTCCAAAGCCAGAATTAGGTGTTCGTCGATTGTGCCTCAGTCTTGAAGGCAGGGTGAAAATGGTCGAGGATTTGTCAACGTCTCATCGAGAATATTCGCCTGTCAATCCACGCTCTCAGCGACAGACATTCACTTCGCCCGACACTTCGTCACACAGCAGCAGAGCCATAAGACGTATCCTATCGCTTCGGCAAGTGGGAGCAGTCCTCGTTCGCTGATATCGTAGTTCCTAGGAGCTAGGGGGGAGGCAGTGGGCTGCGTCATGATTCGCATAGAACGCGCGGGGTGGTAGCTACCTATCCATGTTGGATGCAATCTATCTTGAGGCGGTCGCGCGGGGTCTGAGAGTGTCTTAGAGACGCAGAGTATGGCTGGTCTAGAAGTTACGTAAACACTGTCGCCCCCAGCTATAGATTATAGGGTCAGCGGCGGGGGACGCGTCCCTCCTGGGGAAAGATAGGATACGGCCCGTGGTCGCGGATTCCTCAACCATCATTCATCCTGCTTTCTAGTGTTTTATTGATGGTTGATTTTGGATTGACATGCATTACAATTGGATTTTCTACTGATTAACAGACTAGTTAGACTTTGCAGATTTCTCGCTCTTATGGAGGTGGAGGAGAAAGAAGAAGAAGAATATTTAGTCGAAAGTATTGTCACCCATCTTGAGTAGGTGTTAGTTGAGTGTAAATCAATACAGATGCTTTCTTTATACGTCCTTCTATAGTCATCTTATAGATATGTTGATGCTTTTGAACTTCGTGGATACATAGTATTCAATCCGCAAACGGGGAATGGTACAACGCATTCGAAGTACGTCTATCTGGTGAGTATGTCTAACCTTCGTCAGATATCTGTAAATGCATGACATCCAAAGTATGAAGTGTATAGGTGAAATGGTTCGGATATCCTGATTCTGACAATACTTGGGAGCCAGAGGAAAATCTTGTAGACTGTACGGAAGTATTGACGATATACAAGCAGAAACATGGACTTCCTCTATATCACGAAACTTTCAACCGCCAGTTCAACTGGAGTGAGTTCTTTACGTAAAAGCTATGGTCTTTGTGACTCCCGACGATGATTGTGCGACGTAATAGCCGCATGCAAAACAGGGAGGACGGGTAGGGAACGCATTTCATGTAGCTATCCCATTTCTCTCCACCCTCCGCCTCTCTAGGTTCACGCTATTTCGTGCAATCGCGCCGTCGGTTTTTGAGTGTGACGCTTACAAAAGCTGTTGCTTTGATATGTATCCTTCCGAAAATTGTTATGTTTTGATGAGTCTGTTATTCTAGGAGAACCCACAACTTCCTTAACATTAGAAGAAGTGAATCGGCTAGCTTTCAAGAATCGTGACCCCATCACTTCGGCTTCGCAGTTAGTAAGGGATCCTCCCACGAAACAAAAACGGAAGGCAAAGGTATTTGAAGTGTCATCTTTCAACTTTTGTTCACGCTCCAAACTGTAAGATATTTTCGAAAATAACGTTTGCTAAGCTATCACAGGCAGCGTTTCAACTGTAGTTTTTAGGAGAATCTACAGGAATTTGTAGTGGATTCGGATGATGACGCGGAATATGTCCCAAATAAAAAGCCCAAGGTTTGTGCGTCTGTCAGTACTGGTGTTACTGGCAATTGCATTCATAATGCACGGTCACAAAAGGACAATTTTAGCGACCGCCTAACCCTCCTGTCAGGATAGAGCCAGAAGTAAAGCGAAAAAGAGGTCCTAAAGTAAGTCGTCGAGCACGACTGTAATTTTTTGCAGGCGTTCTTATTCTGTAGTTGGTCCTGTTGTAGCCATTTCGACAAAGACGCGCGTCCGTGGATGGCCCCGTGAAAAAGATTCACAGGAAACCTCGCTCTTCATCGAATCCAACAAAAACAATTTGAAGAAGGAGACAAATAAAGGAAGAAAGGTTTGTTCAGAATCCACTTCTCGCCACGATCTTAATCACAATTTTTCAGAAAAGCGATACGGAAAGCCGTTTGGAGGTGATACGGTACGTTTTTGAGGGTGGGTCGCGACGAAGCAGATCGCCAGTAAAGAGACTTCTGAATACGCGAAGGTTAGCAACGAGTTGAATCATTGTTTTGGGTGAAGGATTGAGAAACGTCGGCGATTTCCCCTTTCTCTAACAATAAGCTTCAATCTATCTACATTCGGAACGTTCTCTCGACATTCAAATTTCATATGTGCTCCCTGTATGTAGCTTTGTGAGGAGTTTTTCTACACTTTCCCGTGCTAAATCCGAACCGTCCTTCCATACCTATATATGCATGGAAATTTCACGGTCATCGGTTGGGCTCATATCGATGGGTACTTGTCCCATTGGCGCTCTGTGAGGATTTTATCGTATAACTTCGAGGCATATGGGAAGGAGTATCTTTAGGCTGGCGTACAGAGTTCGCGTACCGCGTGCGATTCTCGCGAATCGCGCGGCAGATCACAGAAATCATAAGTGCCCCGATAAATCCGTGAGGTGCTCTCCGATCCCGTCGTTATTTCTGTTTGATGGTGATGTTCTACTGGCGACAGTTCATGAGGTTACTTGTTTCAAAACTCGAGTTATTTTCAAATGTTTGATTTGCCATCATCATTGAATGACATTCACGGCGAATGGCGCGCGACATGTATCGCGGACTCTGGCCCAGCTATAAAAAGCATAAGCAATAAGCGTTTGACCCAAAGTGTTTCAAAGACCGTATAGGTCAGCGCGAACCGCAAGCAGCCGGGCGAGCTGCATATGCGATTGCATCCAACTTTTTGGAAAGGGTACAGTTGCGAGCAAGGGGCAGTGGAAAGGTTTCAACGAGTCCGCCTCACGGTTTGGCTTGGGAAAGTGGCTTCTAAATGTAACCAGGAAGATACTCAGCCATGTCATGATCGTTGGGAGGGGCGACAGTAAAGTAGTAAGCCACCCAGCACCATGAGTTGGTAGGGTGGAGAGAGCATTTTTTGTTTTCCGTGACATTCCCTCCCTCTCTTGGGCTCAGCTCCAGTGTCATCTAGCAGCGGTTTTTGAGTGCCCTGTTGTGAATGTTCTACCCCTCCTCCCCTGAGGACATGACCGCCGAGACCCATTGTTGGCACCAAGTTTTTCCTTTCACCATTGCTTTGTTTTCTCAAATTTCCGGCAGTTGATATTGGGAGCTGTTTGAGTCTGTGTATATATGTAGGTATTCTTCTGCGGAGCGACTGCCAGAACGCTGGTTAAATGCCATAGAGGAAGGCGCCAGAGAAGAATGTTCCAGAATGACGCGTGAAAAGCTTGCGAAGATAATTACGTGAGTTTCCCGTATTGCGGAGGACTGATCGTTTTTTTTTGCATTTGCGCGCAGGAGCCACCTGCAGATAAGCTTTGACTTACTGATTTTTTCTGACTTCCTGCATCATCAAAGAAGGTTTCGATTACACTTTGATGAAGCTCATTTTTTGCTTTTAGGGCGCGTTTTGCAGCTTCTTCTGAGAATCTTTCTCAACGGCATCAAATGATTGTTTCCATGCGAGAACGGGATACAACTGCAGAAGTGAGTAGTCAATTCTCTACCTTTTTAGATCTAACGCTAGCACTAAACGATTGCTTACAGGATGAGACCCGGCAGTATCGCGTAGTCGGTTCAAGCCTCCTCAAGAAGCTGTTAAAGGAACATGACGTTTCGTGCAAGGTTTTCGAGAATTCTTTTTATAAATCCAATTTCGTTTCATCAATCCAAGTTACAGCTACCCGTCATTTCCATACCTGTGCCTGAACCAGTCAAATCCGATTCTGATGAGATTGCCGAATTCCTGCGGAAATTAGATGAAAATTGCGAACGTAATTTCGTTCATATGAAAAGGTAGTTATTGTTGACATTTATAATTGCTATCTTATTGTAGGTGCTGATTGCGAACCTGTCCATGCAAGTGCAGGTGTTCGTAGAGAAGAGTGTTCACTGGCGGAACTTCGTAAATATGCAAACGAACAAAGTCTTGAAGATTCGGTCATATTTTTGAAAGCTGTCCGTGAAAAGGACACGACTTTGTCCGATGTAAGTGCGTCGTTTGTTTGAGCGTTATTATAAGCAAGTTTATCAGGTCTGCAAATGCTCTTATGTACAAATTCAAATTTCAAAAGTCAGAAGTCAGAGGATATTTTCATATTTCTCCTATTCAGATTTCATCCGTATTAATGCAGTACTTCGTACCCAGGCTTGAAGTGATAAATGTCATTTTTGTGTACCCAGGAGTCTGTCTCGCGGCGGCCAGAAGGCAGAGATGCAGACGGGTCAGCGGACGAGTCGCGGCACGTACTGTAGTGATTTCGCGTCAGTTGGGTAGAATGCGGTATAGTTACGATCTAATTGCAAGATCGAGCGCAGGCAACGGGGGCGTCCGCTGACCCGCGTCCGCGTGTGCGTTGCCTCCTCACGCGCGACGGAGCCTAGCCTGTCGGGGGATAACCGATTATTTAAGGTTTTGGCTCCCGATATTCGTGCTTCCCCTCGTGCCTTCTGCACTTCTCTAATACTTTATATATGGTTCGACTCGCGGATCAGAGCTATGCACTACACCCGTTCATCACTCGAAACCACCGGCATTTTGTCAGTTCAGTCCTTTCAGCGAAGCGAGAGCTGTAACTCTAACAAGTCATCGAGTGTCTCTCTTAACTGGTTCTCGATATTTGTGTTTGTCTTCCGATTATGAAAGCATCAAGAAGCAAAACTCTGATTGGGAAATCAGGGGCTTTAGGAAGCTCATGAAGGCCTATGCGCTGCCCCGTTGTTCAGAACTGGTAGCGGCCATCAATGGTCACTACGATCGCAACGCGAGGTGATCCAAGTGACTGTGCGAGGAAATACGTCCTGAGCTTTTATTCTTTTGGGCGCCTACAACTGTGAAGCGACGATACTAAACGATGATTAATGGTGGACTGTACGGAAAAAATTTTTATCTGTCAGAGTAGGGGATGTATCTTGTAAGTCGGTAGGGGACTCCTTTCGGCGCGACTTTTTCAGTCCAGCTCTGGGATCTTCTCGAGTTACGATATCAATCTCAGTTGCTCGCGAAAGTGATTGTTTAGCGGATGAGGTCTTAAATAAGTGGTGCCACAAAAAGTACAGATCGAACTTCTCGATTGAACCTAAAGATATCATGGGGGGGGGGTGCTTAGTTGTGGCTAACTTTCGATACATAGCTCATAGGGGGTGCTGGGGGAAAGGCGTGCTCACAGTTGAGGTCGGAATGGATGTGAAAAGTGACGCATGAGTAAATGTAACGTTGCTAGAAAGACTACGATACACCTTATTCCATAGATAGTTTTTGCGACTCTTCAAACGTTAGCTTTTTGTTATCCATCCGTGTTTTCCCTATTAGGCCATGATTTTTCATGTATTTTTTGATCGCCAGATTTATTACATTCATTATTGTAAAGTCGCGGGGGAGGAAGGGGGGGGGGAAGGTTGCGTTGGTGTACCTCCTTACTGAAGAGCATAGTCGGCTGAACTTCGTCACTGCTATCGCTGTGCTCTTCGACGGAGAGTACAAAGGAATAGGGAGTCGTGTTAGCTGTCAACTGTCAACTACATAGTTGCCCCTGACTGGAACTATCTAAAGCCTTGCGCACCAAACGACGGTGTTTCTATTGAAATGTTAGGTTGTTCTAGTAGGAGTTCCATCTATCTATTTTGAAAGTCGCAGAAGCTAAAATTTATTATACAACTTATTAACAGTGATAAGCGAGGTATGGTCAATGTTTTTTTTTTCAGAATGATTTGATGACAATCGCATTGAGTTATGCCGAACTTTCCTACAAACTGGCCATTCGTATCTTGAAATCTTTTCCCGACGAACAGAAGAGGTTTGACATCATCAAGGTTGGCATCTTAATGGTGAAGAGGTTCAGATTATGAAGCCTATCTTTGCCTTTTCCAGGAACTGGTGGCCAAAGTTCGGATTTTCGGTAACTCAACTATATCCAGACCAGACCGACCTACGACCTCGTCGTCATCCCTTGAATTGCAACTTATAGAATCGGAGCTCAGTGACGGAGGTTGGCTGGAAGCTGTGTCGCATTGCTCAGCAGCACATTGGAAGTGCAGGTAAAGCTGAAGCGTATCATCATCTTATCGGACTACCCTAGCCAACATTTTCAGGCTTATGTATTGGCTGATGTCGGTTAGTCCATATCCGGAAGTGTTCACAGACGAGTCTTCCCCATTCAATCAGCAGAACTTCCTCCATTGTATGCGATATGGCGCACACTGTCAGAAGTTGGCTTTTGTCAGATGTGGTCGGTCACTTTCTCTGTTCCTTTACAGTATCTCGCGTTCAAATATTGGCTAGGTAGTTTGATACCAATTCAGCCTTCCTTGATTAGGGGTGCGGGACTTTTGGTGCGTCCGGGCTGGCACGCGGCGAATTGCGCGGCGATCCGGATGAGACAAGGCTTCGCGTGTTCTGCAGTAGAATTCGAAACGTCAAAGCGTATCAGATTGCGGATAAACACCGCATTGTTCTGCGCTTCGAAAAAAGTTTCTGCGCGCGGAGATTTGGATGCAGCGGTGTCTGTGAAGAGATTTCAGGCAAAGAAGTAAGGGAGAACCTTCATGGAAACGGCACTTCCATCACCCATGCGATTAAGAAACGCTATAATTAGGAGTTTTTACTGCAATGTTGTTCAGTGTCAACTATATATTGCTTTACTGATCGTGGCGCTCGTGTCTCTAATCGTAAGAGGACATTCAAAACAGCCGATGGTGGTGACACTAGGACTAAGCCCAGGAGGGGGAGGAACGCCAGGAAGAACACAATTTGCTCCCAGAATCCCCTTCCCCTGAGGCTCAGTTCCAAGCACAGTAATTGGCTCACTCACTTGGATGCCCCCTCTCCCAACGACATGACGCCCTGATCGCTGTCACAGCTTTATGTCAGCTCCTTCTCATCCCTTCTTACTAAAGTTTCCTGACCATCACCGCTGAACTTCGCACGTTGGAATGTAATTGAGTCGCAGAACCTTGCGAAATTTATCCGTTTCACATTTTGACGTGGTAAATTCCACTGCAGACGCCCGCGAGATTTGCATCCGGATCGCCCGCGTGCCATCCCGGACGCACCAAAAGTCTGTCGCCACTTGATCAGGCGCGATATTTCTTTTACTGGTCTGCACTGGTTTCTACACCTGGTCAGCACTGGAGCACACGCAGTACCCAGTTCTGGATAAATGCTAGTGCTCCTGAACTTATGAAGCTAGCATGATTACGACAATCTAGAAGAAGGGGCCTTTCGTATAACTTCGTATAATGTATGCTATACGAAGTTGAATCGCAACTAGTGATAGCTGCCGTCATGGAAGTTTCGAAATATGACCGTCCCCCTTCTCAATCTCGATATCCTTCTCACTCCACCTCACAATAATTCGTTGAAGCAACATAGCTTTTCTTTAAAGATTTTCTATAGAATAGTTTTTCAGCAAATCCTTCACAATTGTCCAATCTACTGACCTCTTCAAAGCGACCTTTCCTAACTACGGCGACTCATGCTTAAAGGAAGCGGTTACGATAAAGAGGGCATCACGAGAGTATAAGCGCCACACGAAGCAGTTACTTTGGCTGCCAAGAAAGCGAGATGTGACGTGTTACGACGAGGGCACTGGTTGCGAGGGCAGGACTTCGGATAGCCACTCCGTCTCAAACCGATTCCGCCCTTGTTGAATTGGGTGTTTTGGGCACAACTGGCATTGCCAGCAGTGTACGATGGAGCGTGTTCGGCAATGGCTTCAGCAAATGCGTTTGCTGTTCCGCGTTTGAGCTTCTGAACTCGTCATGAGTGAAACCACGGCCAAAAAACGGAGTTGTCTGGCATCTATTGGCGGACTTCTCTGCTTTATTCTTCACTGGCGTACTATTGAGCACCACCGCATCTCCTATAAACCCTTCTAGAATTATCGCAGTCGCTGCCTTTAACTCTGAGGTGAAGAGTCGGCAGACGACTCAGAGTTAGGGCTCTCTAAATGGTCCCATGAATAGTCCCACCTGAAACCTTACCGTGTGCAATTCTCACTTGCTTCCAGCGTGACTAGAAACATCAGTGGTATAATTCGTTTGCTTATCGTTATGTTGAATTACTCTGATATTCCATGCAACTATTCTAGGGGTTCCTTATGGACTGGCGGCGATTGAGTGCGATCTTCTTGATGTTCGAATAAGTAGCTCTCATATTGCAGCCATGCAGGGAAATCCTCGATATGTACGGTATCATTTTATTTGTTCAAGTTCGTGCTTTACTTCATCGAATCAATTACAGCTGTTCGAGTTTATTCGGAACGGATTCGACATGAACGCTCTTACATCGAAGACGTCGCAAAGAAAAAAAAAAAAAAAAAAAGAAAAAGTAGGATGGATTCTGATAAGACTGTCATCGAACTGTTGTCGAGCTTGGTCAAGGTCTGTTCTTCATTGTCATCTTCAAACTTTCACCTCGATTTATGTTATAATTACGCGTTGGGCAAAGCAGTCGTAGCAAGTTGAGTGTGTATGGGAAACCCCAACCATCAGGGCTTTAAGAAATAGCAAGAAGCAAGTGGGGAGCAGACAGTGCGAGAAGAAGCAGGGCAAAAGAGATGCTTGTTCTCAACATGCCAAAATTGATTTAAAGGAGGATTTCACGATTAGAATGAAGGTCGAAGAAAGAAACTGACCTAGTTGAGGGACCCACGGACCTCCTGAGGGTGCGAACTGACGCGCAATTCGCATGGAAAAATTTGACCTCGGCGACCTATCATGCCTCAAAGCTGGCGGGTCCGGCGATCTCCGCCCACCGATCATCTGATCACTCGCCGTAGTTCAATACGTGGCGAGTGATTAGATAGCTGAGAGAGCGTAGTGTTGAAGAGGGCACAGCGATGAGAGTCGCATCAATGCTCGAATCAACGGGCAAGGAAGGGGTACCATTTCTCGGGTTCTGGGCCGTTTCTCATGGTTCTTCCTTCTTTCGTGTACCACTCACCATCCCTAGGTTAATTTGAAATGGGTTGCTTTTCATCGTGAATTCGTCCTTTAATTCACATTGCTATACTGAGATCAGATGCTTACAGAGGAGTCTTGAAGAGCGTATTCGTATGTGTTACGCAACATTCATGACAAGCCGTCTATCACTTGCGCTCAACAAAAGAAATGCCTGTGGGTAAGCAATGTTTGAGTTGAAAGAGTCCCTCGAGCGGATCCTGGACCATTACCGATTGTGTTTTACGATATCTGGTTGGCATTTGGTCCTTACAGAGTCCATGCTATTGTCTTTGAGAAACATCGAACATGAAATCATTTGAAAGAAATTGGATAGCTGCTTAGAGTTGGAGCAATTGCTGTAGGTCACCTTGAGCCCATCGGCGATGGTGATGGCTTCCAACTTCTGGATACGGTGAGGGAAAGTGACAATGCTCTTCTGCGTACGGAAAAACGATTCTAAGAATTTCTCTCACGGCAGGGCTTCTGTCAAGTGTGCACCCTGTGTGGGACAAGTTGGCTATATCGTGGCGCCCATGAGCAAGAAAGTCGCGTCCCTCCTTTTGTGTACGTTCGAAAAACACGCAGCAACAGTGGGGTAGCCCTTTTTTCATCTACACAGGTCTTTTGGTTAGTCCACAGCCCGTGCTGCGTAAATAGGTGAGTCGAGGTCGTCCTTGGCATTTTGAGTGGACCTCTTCAGCTCGTCGACTTCACAATAATGCTTCTAGCATGGTTCTTCAGAATGCTACCGTCGTAAAAAAGCGGGTGGTCGTTGAAAAAATTGATCAATGTTGAGCAGTCTCTCAGAAAAATTCTTTCATGCACTACAATGAGTCGGGGTCGACGAAATTTGCCGAAGACCCATTGAGCAACCACTAAAATTCTTAATACTGCTGAATACTTAAATCGCCTGTGTAAGGCGGGCTCAAACTACGTTCGTAAATAGCTTTCTGCTGCGAGAGTTATCAAATGTTTATTTGCCTCGCCTCCAAAACGGCGAGACCTCATTCTCCCTAGCTGTTATAATTCAGTTCTACAAACTTTTGCGGTCTGAAAACAGCTGGTAATACACTGGCAGTAAGCAAAATAACTGTGGAGACCGGCATCAAGCGATTCGATGATCTAGGGAATGTAAGGAAATGCCGCCTAAATAGTGAAGATTTTCATCTGTGACTTCCTAAATGATGCCAGACATGGTGCGGCGCAACTCGAGGAAATGGGTGGAGAACATTGCCAAATTTCCTTCTGATCACCCGGTCAAGCGTGAGGCACGGCAGGTGTCGGACTCCGCGCCCATTCGTTAGCGAATCGCGCAATTTGAAAGCGGTTTGAACGATTCGAGCGATGCGTCTGCCAGCGCTCAATCGGTGGAATCTCATGCGCATAACTGGAGTTTAGAGCGCATCGCTTGAATTCTTCGACGTGCGCGACTAACTAGCGATTGGTTGCAAAGTCTGACATCTGCCCGTCGGCTCCATTCTGCCCCATTTTCACCCATGACAATGCTTGACTCGATTCAATAGTTGCACTGGCTAATGTTGTTTTTTGGGGAATATTTTTAGAAGCGATCTGACAGATAACTCAACTGTAATATTTGGAGTAATCGTAGAGACAGAAAACATGTGGTGTACAACGAATTAGTCTTCATACATACAGTAGCGGTCAAAAGTGTTCGCCGAAGCGGTTTTTCGTGCTTCTCTTTTTTTGCCAGAAAAAATTAATGGTGACCTCGGAAAATTTTTCTTTTGTATATCCTGATTCCTTAAGACTTGAGGATACACAA